CCAACACCCCCCCTCCCGTGTGTCGCCCCGGCAGATTCAGGGTCAGGTGACCCCGCACGCCATCGTGGTTCTGCCCAAGACGGATGGCATGGAGATGCTGCTGTGCTACGAGGACGAGGGCGTCTACGTCAACACCTACGNGGCTTTCTCCACACCTCCAGAGAAATAGAGGTAGATAACATTTTACTACAACATGGAGCTAGAAGAGATTTCTACATGTTTGTATATGTAGTTATTTATTTTTCTTTTGTATGAAGTATTTATTGTATTAAAGTATAACGTTATATAAAGTAATGCTACATGCTGCCACCACCACCATGAGTGAGTGAATGATGAAAGGATGAGTGAGAGAGAGAGAGAGAGAGAGAGTGAATGAGAGAGAGAGAGAGAGAGTGAATGAGTGATGGAGTGGGTGAGTCCGTGTCCTCCTCTAACCCTGGTCTGGTTACAGTCAGAGATGGACGGGGGAAGGAGACGGTAACCACAGCAACCGCCTCACATTGCTTTTGGCAGTCATGAATCACGCTGTGCTCATGTCTGTTTCCATGGCGATTGCGTGGCTGAGGAGCGGGAGACTCTATTGTTGCAGCAGTTTCTTGTCTCTCAGGGTGGGGAAGGAGGGGTTAAGGGGGGGTCCAGAGCCCCTGTGGGCTCGCGGCAGCTCCTAACCCCCCCGCCCCCACCCCCCTCCAACACCCCCCCTCCCGTGTGTCGCCCCGGCAGATTCAGGGTCAGGTGACCCCGCACGCCATCGTGGTTCTGCCCAAGACGGATGGCATGGAGATGCTGCTGTGCTACGAGGACGAGGGCGTCTACGTCAACACCTACGGACGCATCACCAAAGACGTGGTGCTGCAGTGGGGCGAGATGCCCACCTCCGTCGGTACGTCAACCAATCAGCTCGCTTCTCCCTGACCCCTGACCTCTGACCTCTGTAGGCGGTCTCAGCAGATCATCTTTTCACCCTCACTATCTACCACACCCCTCCTCCGTTCAAAGCAACACTCCTCTCTCTCCTCCTGCCTTTTCCTTTCAGTCACACCTGTAACAAGAAGAGAGACTTAGACTCACCTGTTTCCATGACTGCTTAAAGGAATACAACAGGTTTTTGGGGAATTCAATAACCGACTGCTCAACTTCATTATAAATGATGAGAACGCACAGTGTAGACGCCAGAGTCTTCCACACGCCACTGATTAATCCCTTCATTCATCACCTGAACACTTTCAGAGACACTGTGTCGAGGGGCTTTATTTTCCCGAGTGACACAAAGACACAAAGATCAGTGGACGTGGCTCTAAAATATTAATTATGTATCATATCGTATAATATAGTACGATTTTATATCATAATATTTATACATGAACTTAATAATAAGAAATAATATGTTTTGTTTTTTGCATGTCACGCTCCACAGGTTTATAAATATCTATATAAATGAGCAGTGTAGCTGAAAACTATCTGAGGTTAATTATGATGCTCTGCATCAGCTGATTGACGAAATAATCAATGAAGGAGCCAACAATCAATACTTTCAACAATCAGCCCTTTTCCGCTGCATGGTACCGACTCCATTCGCCTCTACTCGCCTTTATTGGTTTTCTATCAGGCAAAAGTTGCAGATGCTACTATCACGTCCTGAGGTTCCAGGTGAGCTGAGGCGACACCCAAAGGTGACGTGAAAACACCTCAGACGACTGATTGGTCGGAGAGAATCGCCACCACTGCGCCACCGTTGCACGAGGCGGCGGAACGCTCTCAACGAACCCGCCATTTTTTTAAAACAGCTGTCGTCACCTGAGGAGGAGCGGACGTTTCTCTGTTCGGTATCCTCCACTGTTCATGTGCATGTTTTCATTGCCGTCGCTATAGTAACGATGGCGCATCGAGTGAGTATTATCTGCAGTGGAAAAAGAAGAAGTCGAATCGAGTCGGTACCATGTGGTGGAAAACACACCTGGAGGGGGGGAGGGGCCAGTGAGGGATCACACCTTTGTGCTGCACTAGTGGCGGTGAACGCGGCGTGACATCCTCCTGGTGACGCCCCCTCCTGGCAGCCTCTGTTTGCTAACGTAGTAGCACTAGACTACAACGATCCACCGGACGCACACGAAGAGGTTCACTGTCGATATTCTCATCACTTAACAGATAAGTTGACCAAAGGTGTGACGACCCAAAAACTCAGAGTATCCCTTTAACGTCAAGTGTTGAACATTCATCTAATGCATGAGTTGACAACAACACGTCCCACAGAGCATTACCTCTCTCTCTCTATACACACACACACACACACACACACACACACACAGACTGTGGTCACTTTCCTTCTTCACACACTTTTCTAAGCGTTGGGGGAAATGCTCGTGTGTTGTTGGTGTTGAGTTCCTGTCCTCTTGTTCTGTGCGAGTGTTAACTGTGAAATATTTCTAAAGGGATTTTCTCATCCATTCTTACTTTCATCCTTGATTGCGTGAGAGCTCTAAAATAACTCAAACCAAACAAAGTGTTTGTCAGCAAGCCTGAAAGTGAGATGAAAGCTCTGCGTTAGATCACAGCGGAGCGCCGTGCATCTGAATCGATCTATTATTCATCAGTGCACTCAGTCAGAGCTCGCCGAGAGGAAACGGGACACGGCTGAGTTGAGCAGAGCCGAGCACATCAAGGATGGATCTTGGATCTTATGATCCGAGTCAGTCAAAGCCTCTATGTTTTTCCATTCGGCCCTCACTCTCTGATTCTCAGGTGTCAGTGTACAATATCCTGATTGATTAAACTTGTATGATTGACTGACTGTGTCTCTGTCCTCGAGCACCGGTGCTTATGTGTTGTGTTTTCGCGTGTGGACATCATCTCCTGTTAACATGTCTGTTTGTATTTTACTGTCAGACCAGAGTTTCTCACAGCCAAGCCCGGCCTCAGCCCCCCCACCCCACCCCCACCCCACCCCACCCCCCCCCCACCCCCCAAAGAAAAAAAAACCTGCATCGTACATATTCTGCAAACACGCTGCTGGTTGATCCCCGTCCTCGGCAGGTGGGAGCTGCTTTTTCTCCACAAAAGTAATAAGAGAAAAATAATTATGCGAGCAGGGTCAACCAGGGCAGAAGCACCTGAAGTCACGCTCACCCAGAGCAACCAGGAGGAGGAGGATGAGGAGGAGGAGGAGGAGGAGGAGGAGGAGGAGGAGGCCGTCACTGAACAGGCCAGAAACTGATGCTTTAATAATCCCTGGAGTTCATAAACTATCCTCAATGAGTAAATCTGTGCTGCATTCACAAGTCAAGTGTTTCCTAGTGTAGTTACTGTTCTGTACAACCCTTCAAACCTGATTAAGTTAATATATTAAGTCAAAGACCTTCCACTGGACTTTATCAGCGCAACAGAGGAAGGTGTACGTCGTCAGATTTCCTCTCTGTTGATGCATTTCTGCTGGTTTTGACGTTGCACATTTCAGCAAGGTGTGATCAGAGTGCCGAACAGTGATGTCCTCCTCCTTCGACTATCATTAAACTGATTGGCTCGACATTTACAGTCCATGTCGTACTTGTCCATGAGAGAGAAAGGACCTAAAAGTAGGTAAGCCCTGCCCCTGGTCTTATTTTCATCAGGTAGCAGCCTCACTGCTCTCTGATCTGTTCAGCTGCCGATGCTTCAGATTAAAAGTCTTCCATTAATGAACCTCTGGAAGGATTTTATTGTGAAACAAACTCTTGTCACGCTGCAGCTCACCTGTAAAGTTCAGACCACCAGCCTCAGTCAGAGACGCTCGAATAAACAATTAAAATCAAATACTGATACCAAACCACCAAAATCAATGGAGACCCAGTGAGCGGCCTCGTGTGTTGTCCTGCGTTACCTGTTGCTTTGACAGCACCTTCCCCCAACACCAGACTTCTTCTCACGAGGAGCTCAGAGGTCGTGATCGTTCTCCTCGCTCAGAAACTGCTGCAATAATTTCCTCCCGGAGGTCGAGGCGGAGGAGGCCTCGAGGTGTGACTGGCTTGGGTGTGAGACAGGTGCTGAGTCTTCTCCTGTCCAATCCCTCCCCCCTCTGTCTGTGTGTGTGTGTGTGCGCGTGTGTGTGTGTGTGTGTGTGCATGTGTGTGTTCCCTCTCCTGCCCCTGCAGCTTACATCCACTCCAACCAGATCATGGGCTGGGGAGAGAAGGCCATTGAGATCCGCTCCGTGGAGACGGGACACCTCGACGGAGTTTTCATGCACAAGCGAGCTCAGCGACTGAAGTTCCTGTCGGAGAGGAACGACAAGGTGAGTCCGAGTCACCTGCACAGCTCCGCCTCCTTATCCTTTATTGTGTCAGTTAATGTCCATGAAGCATCTTACATTTCAGTTCTTCTATCTGTGACGCCGTCCTCTCCCCCTCGTCTCCTTCCTGCAGGTTTTCTTTGCCTCGGTGCGTTCTGGCGGCAGCAGCCAAGTCTTCTTCATGACCCTCAACAGAAGCTCCATGATGAACTGGTAACCCCTCCCCCCTTCGGCCGACAACCCTCCTCTTCTTCACTGAACATCTGAACCCACCGCCGGGAGACGAGGGACGACAGGAGGACGAGTCGTGTGTGTGTGTGTGTGTGTGTATATATATATCTGCGTGTGTGTGTTCATTGGAGGATAAACAATGAGCTGCTGAACAGACAATTGGAGGAGTTAAACCACAGGAGCGTCCCCTCCCCCCACCCCACCCCCCCACCCATTCACATACAGATACCCTCCAACTGTAGGGGGCGCTGCAGGCCTCGTAGATGGCGTCACTGTCAGTGGACGACGCCTTCACCTTCCCTGTGGACTCTTCGATCGGGACAACGGTCGTTCTTGACACTTTAAAGGCTGTGACATCACACCGGGTAGCCTTTGACTTTCCCGTGTGACTGGAGGGGGGAGGGGGGGGCGCTGTGGAGAAGCTCTTTGTGTAGCACATCAGCGATTTTCTTACAGGGTGTTCACACTGCGAGTGCGTCGGGAGATTCGTCGCTCTGCGTGTTGGCGGCGACGCGAATCAGACATCTCTCACTGCGCTGTGTCGCTATGGCGAGTAAACACTTCCAGGTAGCGACAATAGAGGAGGAAAACTCCTGAGGCTGCGGCTGTTCCTGAGACAGTTTTAAACTTCATCCCTCAAAGTAAAAGACAGAGTAACTCCACACTGAGCCAGTTCAAGTATTTCCCTCCGATTTGGCCTCGTCTTCGTCGTGGATCAATCAGTAAACTCTAAGCAGCTGTTGAACTGTGCGGTGGAGACTGATGAGGAAGCAGCTGCTGACCAGACGTTGGCTGCGATGCACAGTTTGGTGTGTTTGATGATAATTGTGGATTTTACACTGTGTGATTCTGGGCTTCTCTCAGACTAAAGTCGACAATCTTTTAACGAAATCTTTGACAAGACGTGGTGAAATCTCTGGTTCTGGATCTCACTGTGAGACACGCCCGCCGTCAGCTGACTCGGCCGAAGGTCTGGCTACAAGATGTCTGACCGCTGCTGCTATGAGCCACGTTTACCGAGCAACCAATCGACACATGGAATGTAGGGATGCCACGATACCGATACTGATACCGATCTTCTCTGACACGCATTGCAGATGTCGTACGTTATATCAGTCTCGCATGCTTCCACATGGCCGACATTTTTTGTTTCGGTGGGAGGCGGGACTTAACTACGCAGAGTATTAACCGCAGGTTGTAAGGTGATAGCATCTGCCGATCACTAGGGATAGGTACCAAAACCCGGTATTGAACGAGCCCCGGCGCTGGAGACCGGAGTATCGATAAGCTCGGTTCTGCTTTCGTTACTTGAGAAATAAAGAAAATAAACTTCCTGTTTATTGTTGCGACAAAAAAGTTCTCTCACACATTTTATCTCACCAACTCCGTTTGTCTCTTCCAATGTTAATCGAGCGCTTTCGATAAAAGTAGTAGTACCGTTAAAATGTTAACGATACCCATCACGTATTTGTGATCAAAATCATCTGAGGGATTGAAATCACAACGACAACACGGGCGATCTGGTGGAACGTGAGAAGGTATTGATGAGCGGTTAGTTGCAGCACCGCGGCCACTTTGAGTTTACCGCTTCTTAAAGGAACGACGTGAGTTGACGACCTGGGACTTAATTAGACTCATCTCGCACAGTGTGACATGCAGTTATCTCTTGACTTATTGCACAGCGTGTCGGCACCTTAAGGAGAGACTTTCCCGGTCGGGGGCAGAGATCTGCACCAGAAGTGACTCCAGACTCACTTAGTGTCTGAACCAGCCTCTAACCTCTCTGAGCCCAGAGCCAAATGCTGAATCGAAACCTTCTCTCACGGTGACGACCGGTCGACTGAATCTCAGCGGGTGTTTCCTACACCGACATCTCGTAGCGTCAGATGTTTTTGTCACGATGCAAAAAAAAACACACCTGAGGCGGCAGAGATGCGCTGACCTTGAAAAGTCTCTCTCTCTCTCTCTCTCTGTGTGTGTGGGAAACGGTCAAGCTGCCGTGACTTGATGACAGTGCCGCTCACAGTGTGAACACTCGTCTCGAGTGCTGCTGCTGCTGAAACACCTTCTGTGTCTCGTCCCCATTAGCAGAGAAAAATACTGCAAACAGGCAGTTAGTGTCACGGGGGAAATGAGACGCTGGGTCGGATTGATCTACTGTGGCTGCGGTGTCCTGGTGTGTTCGTGGGAGGGGAAGAAGGCAGGTTGTAGATATTGTATTATTGCTGCAACAGCAACACGATAACAAAATCTCCACATCACTTCTCACGAGAAGAACTTGGCCGTAGAGTAGTTGCCAAACTTCTGGAAGTTTTTACTTTTGCTGCCCTTCGTTCTCTCCACCTTTTACTGTTCTGTGTGCACTGCACTTGTGTAAATACTCACTTTAATGTTAAGGACAGACTTTGCAAAACAGGTGAAGAAAAAAAATAACAGTCTTGCTCTTTTGTTTGTTTTTTTTTTACCTCTGTAAATCTGTCCGTTCTCTAGCTTCTCTCAGATGGGAGGTTTTTCCGAGCGAGGACTTTCACACACCTTTTATTTTTGGTTAAAACTCTTGAGTTTACTCTGTTTTTCTCTGTAGTTCATCACTGTTTATTTAGTTGTGCATTTTTGCATGGTGGACATACATGTTTTACCTGTCGTCACTTGTTATGAGTTGTAAGTTTAAGGCAATACGGGGGCGGGTCTGACTGGAGACGCCGGACGGTGCGAGACAAACTCTCCAACACTGAAATGATCGTTTAACATCTTCTAAGTTACAGTCAGATAAAGATTGAACACTGGAAAACTTCACGTTAACCATTGAGTTTATATTTTAGGCATTTTATTTGATGCTCACACCCAGAGCAGGACGGGGCTCAGTTTCACTTTGAACGCCATTTTCCATTTTTGGAGATGGTGAACGGTTGCGATGGGGCTACGGGAGAGGAGAGCGGCTCATCTTTCTCTTGATTTTGTTGTTCATTGATCTTTAAGGATGCGACGGGTGTAAGCGACGCCGCTTTAAGGCCAGCTGAAGCCTTTGACATGTGCAGGATGTTAACGTTAACGGGCACCCTGTGAATAAAGGTCAGGAGGCGGGGTCAGTCTGAGAAACCATAGATAGAAAGAAGATATATATACTGTAAGAATTTTCGTTATGATGATATCTTACTGATCATTTTAGAGAAAGACAAAAAAATAAAGTTCACTTATTAAAGCTTAGTTGTCTTTCTACAGAATAGAGAACATAGCTATAAGGATTTCTAAAAAAAAAAAAAATACAATGTTTTTATTGTGGTATTATTTGTATTTGTATTTCAATTTTTGTACGTATCAAGACTGTGAACGTATGTACGGCTGTCAGCCCGTGAGCGCGTGCGTGCGTGTATGTGTGTGTGTGTGTGTTTGAGTGTGTAGGCGAGCAGGTGTGCGCACAGGTGTGTGACATGCATGTGAGTGTATGTTTTCACCTCGTCTGAATCACTGGAATCAGTCAAAAGACAACCTCAATCTGGTAACACACATCTGTGATATTGGAAATTGTACAATAAATGTCCTCTCCTTGTACAGCAACAGCACCTGCTCCGCTCTCTTTCTTCACCTCACCTGTCGACAGGTCGCGGGATGACTGATCCTGCAGAATCCACCAGGTTTTAGCACCATGAAGTCGTACTGCATGCACAGGATGAAAAGAAATAAAGGAAACCAAACATCTCACACTCTTGTGTTCACTTCCTTAACATGTTATCGACTGTGCTGGATTCTTCGGTTTCTTTTGACAATCTCTGATTCGATGTTTGTGCTTGACAAATAAGTTTGATTGAGAAAAAATGAATTCAAGTTTCTATTATTTGTTTTATAGTAAAAAGATTAAATATTTTCTTGTTATAACAAACATCAGCTTGATATAACAGATACAGTTCTTTAAAAAAAACTTCTTTTTTGTTTGTGTGGCTTTTTAAGAATTAGGACTTTGGTGACGTGAATTATTCTCACGTAAAATTCAAAAATCAAGAATAAATTAGTGGAAATAATGAAAATAGTCAATAAGTGAAACAAGGTCAAGACTTTTCCAACACCATAAAAACTATATTCATAAATTTCCCTCAACTATGAAGGAGATTTACAGGTCAAAGCTGTGGCAGGATTTCTCTCTTTTATTGTGTCTATGACTCCTTTTATCCTGCCTTCAGTCAATTCATATTTTAAGTTTATTTCTTATTTTGAGACATTGAATACCTGCCTCCATGTTGATAAATGGTTGACAACGATGGAAAGAAGTCCAGGACTTTACTCTTCTATCCCCGACAAAGTTTGATAAGTTGTATTTTATAAATAAACCGATATTCCATCCAGTAACCCCCGAGTGGAGATGAAGATTTACAGGTCAAAACCATGGAAAGATAAGTGGAGAGTGGAGGAAACGCTGTGTCTGCTGCTGCCTTGTTTTCTACAAATGCATTGACTTGCTTTTAGCAGAGCTCTGAGAGAACAGATACAATTATAGGAGGAAACCAAGAAAACTTTGTTACCACATGAATCTTAACTCCATTATTTAGTCATTCATAAATCTATTATCCCTGCAGTTCATTCCAGGTCGTGTTTCACAGTTCAGGTTTAATTACAGCATGTGAATAACTCTGCTGACATAAAACTAAATGCACTGATGTTGTCCAGATAATAAGACATATCATCAGACTGTACAGATTTACACTTACACTTTTACCAGGTCAGTTTATGTCAGTTTTGTGTTTTCAGCCAACGGACGATTATTTTTGATACTTAAAAACACAAATTTGATGGAATATCACTTTTAAATTTGTTCAGTGCAGCACATTAACACACCAGTATTATCAGTAATGGAAAATAACAAGGTGCATTTAGAGTACAGCACAATTTTGAGGTACTTACTTCATTTGACTCCTGTTTAATGTGACATGTACAATCACATTCATACTACATTTAGTTATTTAGCTATTATTACTTTGCAGAATTCAGATTGTTCATTGAACAATATGATCAGTTGAACTACACAGAAGTGTTTCACATAGATTAAGTTAGACTAAAACTACAACATCCACATGCAGCTTACATGTTAAATCATCAATAACAATGATCCATTTGTATAATATATAGTCAGAGCTGCAACAATTCATCAATCAATTCATTTTATATTCAATATATCAATTTTTT